AATATATCTATTTTTATTTTAGACAAATGTTCTTTTATGTTTTTCAGAGAAGAAGGTTCTAAAGTTTTTCTTTCCTTTTCCAATTCTTGTCAAAATATTTTCCACACACCACTATTTGTGACCTTGGGTCAGTATAGTCAGATAAGAGTGAACAAAGGAAACATTGTTACAACAGCAAAGGAAAAAAAGCTTCAGACTTGGGCTTCCAAGTGGCAGATTCGACTCTTTTAAAACCTCTTTCCTTAAGTATCTTTAATATAATATTGTAACAAGTAGAAGAAATTTATTAAAGTAAAAAGAGTTTTAATATAAGCCAAAAAAGTTAAAGTAGTAAAGGGAAATAGGGAAAAAAAGTTCCCTTCACCTCAAGCGGAAAAAAACGGAAGCGTTGCAATCACTCAATCCACAAAAGATTACAGGCAAGAGCAAAAAACTTTCTAAGGAAGTCTAATAGGGATTAAATACGCCACTTTGTTCTTGCTTAATGGACTAATTAAGCTTAAGAAAAGAGTTTCTTAGGGCAATCTTCGAAAAGAAACCTCACCAGGTGGAAACACTTTCATTTCTCTCTTCCTAGAGCCGTCTCCAACTATGTCATCTGGGGGCGGCTGCCTGTTTGTCGCCAGTTGGAAGCGCTTCCCTTGGGTTGATCAGGGACTTTGCGATGTCCCTGCAACCAGCAAGGTCTTGTCTTCCCGGTCACCGTCTCTTTGGGACCATCCAGGGGCAAAAGTGTCATTGGCGGATTCGGACAGTCGAATCTGCACAATGTAACGTTGCGATGTTGGCTCCTCCTCCCTCTTCAATAAAGATTTTGATGTACTACTTGACACACTGATTATTAAGCTTGCCAAATGTTGGCTGAATGGCGTGACAATGGATATTTTAATTAATTATTTGAATGCAAAAAGCATCCTTATCAAATAATTGCGTAGGGTAGCTAGGAAGCAGAAATAGAATTCAAAATAATTTCAGCAGGCGAGAGAAATGGCATGAAATTAACAAATTCAGCATTGACATATTCAAAGTTCTTCCTCTGGAAAACCATCACTGAATGCTTAAATATGGGATAGAGAAGGATTATTAACCTTTTCTTCCTCACAGACCTCTTTTAAATACCTTAATGAAGTACATGCTAGCCCATCTAGCGAAGAAAGTGTTCACCAAACTTGACCTACAGGAGGCATACTACAGAGTCCACATTAAAGAAAGATGAGTGGGCAGCTTCCAGTTTAAAGTAATGTCATTTGGATTACAAGGAGCCCCCCCCCCCCAGTCTCCATGCAGCTAATCAGTGAGGTGCTGCATGATCACCTCTACAAAGGGGTCCTCATATACTTGGACGACATTCTCATTTTCAGTGAGACCATACAGGAACATGTCAAACTAGTGTGCCAAGTCCTTAAGAAACTCCTTACGGCTAAGCTTTACAGCTGTTAAAATGCAAGTTCCACAAGACATACCTAGACTACTGAGTGTCTACCCGCAAGCAGCTCTAGAGCTTCCTCAAGTTTGTCAACTTCTACAGACAGTTCATCCTTGCTTTTGTTGAGGTGGCAATCCCCCTCATGGAACTGTTAAAAACAGGAGGGAGTCCCAA